TAAAGAAGTTTTTACTAAGTCTTTTAGCTGAAAGAGGAAAAAATTATAGCCGTCTTAGAGGCCGAATTGGACAATTTAAAGAGCCTAAGGGCCGACCTAAAAGAGCCTAAGGGTCAATAAAAAAGCCTAAGGGCCGTAGCATGCAGCGTTCGGGACCTTATTCTCACCCAACTCGGACTCAAGAGTTCCATCATTCCGAGCTCGCATCAAATCGACTTAAACATAGCTCGAGGATTAACAAAAACCTTAGGAGGTATTATATTATAAGTTCGGAGATCGCCCAATGATCGCTAAAAACCCTAAGGGTTTGTTATATTCAGAATCCGAGCCAATGTTCACTTGATCATTGAAGTTATCAAAATTGTATTCACAAAATGAAGACAATGCAGCATTCAATACAAATTGGAGATGAGGTAAAGGGAATTCTTTATATTTATAAAGAATACTTACAGTACCCACGAGCGGCATTACACAAAAACAAAGAAAAACCCTAAGAACCTAATCTACTTTGGGGGCCACATCCTTGAGAACCACGTCTTTGGAAGCCGCATCCTCAGGAGCCACATCTTCGGGAACCTCCTCCTTGGGGACTCCATCTTCATCTCCCCCGCCCTCAGAACCACTAACAACATCTTCATCATCAAAAGAAACGAGAAACCTGGCATCGGTCTCCAGCGCCTTTGCTTGGGCTATTTCTTCAGTGAGGTCGAACTCTCGGGCGTGGATTTCTTCGAGAGTCTCCCTCCGAGATTGGCACTTGGACAAATCATTACTCTGTTTTTCCCGTTCAGAGACCTCCTTTAGCTCCGCTTGAACAGTCTCGGCATCCCTTAAGTATATGGCGATGGTTTTATCAGCCGTGGCCTTCATCTTCTCAACTTCAGCCTTGGCCTCAGCAACCTCGGCCCTAGCTTCATCGAGTTTTTTCTCGAGCTCCTCGACCTTCTTGGACTGGGCCAAATTTTTCACTTTGATACCTCGGAGCTGAGTCTCAGTCGAGGCCATTTGGGCTAGAGCAGCCTCTTTATCAGTAGCAAGCCGATCTATGTTCTCCTTCTATCGGTGGCAATCAGTCTTAACCTGATCAACCTCGCCCCGAAGCTGCCCGATCATCTCCAACTTTTGCTGCAGCTGAGACATAGAAGTGTTAGCCTCCGAAGTAAGGCCAAGAAGCCCATACTCTTTTAAAACCACGGTTACCTGCTTGTCTAGCGCGACCTCATTTTTGCGAGCTTTGGCCAAATCAGCCCGGAGGTCCTTGAGTTCCTCCTCCTTTTGGCTACAAAGGAGCCTCAGGGACTTCTCCTCATCCGAAGACTTCCTAAGCTCGGCTCACATTGGATCAGCTCGGCCCTGAACTTGATAATTGCCTACGTGAAAAACAAAGGGATATTAGTAAGGACAAGAGAAGAAAACCAAAAATTCTACAACGTTAAAAGTAAGTGCTTACCCGAGAGAAGAGACGATGAGCCTCTTCAAAAAGGGTAGATGCGTCATTGAGGTCGGCAACATCCTCGAACCCGGTGAAACAATCCTGAATGGGATCTTCTTCAAGGACCTTGCTCGGGTTGGGCGTTCGGATAGCTCGAGCGTCCTTTATCGCCTCCTTAGAGTAAGATGGTAGAGAAGGGGAGGCTCTGATTAGCTTTAGGTTTCTCAACACTTGCCCCTCCGGTGTACTTGATGAAGGCGGGGGAATGATCTCGATCTCAGGGGACTCGAGGGCTTTGCCCGAGTCATTCTTCGGAGTTACCTCATCACGAGGCAAGGTTTCTAGTTCGGAGGGCTTGGAGGCCTCGACCAGTTTCCTAGTTCGGGGCACCAGTGCCTATTCTTCGCCCTCCTTTTCTCATCTTCCAGGAGCTAGATGGACGAATCCGCATTCACATGGATAAGCTTCTCCTTGTCTTTCGAGTAGGGGCCCCCCTCATCCTGGGGGCCTTCGGGCTTCGATGCCCTCTTTCTCTTATTGTCTTTCCCCGATTTTGGAATTGGAGACTCAGTTTCTTCCCCAGGTGGGGCTGGCCTCATCTCGGAGACATCTCCAATGCCTGAATAGATAGGGGTAAGTGTGGAAAACATCTCTAGCAAAAGAAAAGTATGAGAAAACCCGGGAAAGGAACTAACCGTGGTGCTTGGCCTCCCATTTGCCCTTCGATAATTCACGCCATTTACGCTCGTTATACGAGGAGCTTACAGCCAGTCTCCAAACCCAATCCTCGAGGTCAGGGATCGCATGGGACATCCAAAGCGACGGCTGCAAAAAAAGGCAAAGGCATTACTAAAGGCAGCAACAGAGTATAAGAAGATATTTAGAAAAGGGCGTCACTTACGATTGAAGTTCTATTTCTCCGAGAATGGAATTTTCCCTAGGGATGACGTCCGAGGTCCTCACTCTGATGAACCGGCTCATCCAGCCTCGGTCTTTGTCCTCATCGTTACTAGCAAAGAAGGCTTTGCTTGATCGACGTTGAAGCTTGATCAGCCCCCGAAAAAGTTGAGGCTGATACACCCGAACGAGATGGTTGAGGGTTAACTCTAATCCCTCGGCCTTGCTAGAAAAATAGCGCAGCATAATCACGATGCGCTAAAAGGAGGGATAGATCTGGTCGAGAGTAACCTCGTACCTTTTACAGAAATCAATTACTACCGGATCGAGGGGACCTAGTGTGAAGAGGTAAGTGTAATCACTTAAGAACCCCTCCACATGAGTAGTGATGCTTTCCTCGGGGTTGGGGATCTGTACCACGACCTCATTTCTCCTGCTGCAGTCCTTCTTTATGGCCTTGAGATTCTTCTTCGATATCGAACTAATATATCGAGATACATGTTCGCATCGGCCTGGGATATTGGGAGGATTTTCAATATTGAAGTCTTTCTTTAGAACTACGAGGTCGAGAATGATTTCGTGAAGGGTCGGCGTCACCTGTTTGGCCGGCCGGGAAGAGGAGGAAGAAGAAGCCTTCTGTTTTTGAGGGACCGTTTTAGAAGTTTTGGCCATGGTTATAAGCTAATAGATGCAGAAGGGAGCGGAGCGTTGTGTTTTTCGGGAGCTGGGCGTTTTCCCGCACTTAAAGGGCGGAGGAAGCTGATGATGAGAGAAAGAGATGAGGAGGAAAGGGGATCAGAGTGAATGTAATGAAGAAGTAAAGTTCTTAATTCAAAGAAGGAGCCCCGTATTTATAGATGTGCGGCGATGGTTCGGCGGCGGTAGTGGCCAACCATTACTGGCATACATTTAATGTTTTGGGGAAGCGAACCGACAGGACGTCTCGGTCACTTCGAGCGCCTACGTCACGAGAATGATGTCATCATCAGAGACTCCGGAAAATCGAAGTTCAAATCGTTTCTTATCATCTTACTCTAAGAAATGCGGCGACTATCTGTATACGGTTGAAATCAGGTATGCCTAATTTTCCGGGCTCGAGGGGCCGCCTAAAGCCCGAGTTCAGGTAATATCGAGTTCGAGCTCGATGGACCAGACTCGAGCTCGAAGACAGAGTGCAAGGATCGAGGATCAAAGTGCGCAATGAGTATCGAAGCAGAGTATGCTAACCCCGAGGTATGCCGTTACGGATTTGTAACAGAATGAGAAAGATTCCTGCCACGTCCCCAAGATCATGGCGTAAATCCCTGAATAGATTTGTACGAATCCGTACTAGGCGGTTAAACTGTTGTCCCAATAAGATTCTTTACTATAAATAGAAATTTACCTTATTTAGGGTTCCCCTATTATATAAAGGGGTCCCCAATCATTTGTAAACATCATCAATCATTGGCAAAGAATATAGTCTCTTATTTTCTCGCTCATTGTTCATCAGAATTGTCCTTTAGCTTTATTATTCTTGCTTTATTGTTCTTGATCCATCTCGAGGTCACTTTCGCTCGAGGTCGAGACTGGCCTACATTCTGGTTTGGTTTTATTTGTTCCTTTCATTTATACTTCAGATTAAAATTATAAATCAAATTTAATTGTTTCTCGTATTTTTGAGGTAAACAAGGAGTTATATGTTCTATCAAGGCAATTTGCTAATATTGGAGATTGAAGTTGTCTCATTCGAAGTAAGCGACATAATATTGAAACGTTCAATTACTACTCTCGCATTGTTGATTATTGCACGTTGCTGTTAACTGAGCTGTTTGAAGTTTGCTGATAAAATACACCTATAGAGAAAAGAAATCAAGTGACGAATAAACTTGCTAAAATTAAAAGCCGGATAAATACTCTTGTTAAATTAGTTTATTCTGATTCCCCACCTTACAAAAATAAAATTCCTCAATTCCCCACCTTATGTACAGCTTGTTTGGATGGTTATTCCCCGTTGTATCATATTATATTGTTATCTCAAAATAATATTTGTTTTGATTGTTTCATTAAAATTGATTGTATTGTATAGTTAAATCCACTGTTTCGGAACAATGAAAAGTCCTCTTTTCTGAAAAAATCGATTTGGTGTGGTGGGACTGTTTCCTATTTTTCTTTCCATTTATGCCGTAACTTATTACTCCACAATTATATTTTATCCTTTAGCTTTTTTTTTTGGGCTATTTAACTCCAAATCTCCAACCTATAATCTACTTTATTTTTTTCCAGAACTTCTGCCGCCAACGTTAAAGGTGTTTTGCCGCCTTTTTTTTTTTTGTTTTTTCTCCTAATTTGCTTTTAACTCAATTCTAATTAGTGGCGCTCCTTTGTTTTGCCTTCTTCTGTCTAACTCCTTTGTTTTGCTTTCTTAAAGTATTTTGCCTTCTTTTGTTTTATTTTTTAAAATTATTTATATTCATAATTTTTGATAAATCTAATATTTAAACAATTGAAGGTATTTTGGTATACTTATCAGTTATAGTTACAGTACGATACATTCAAACTAAATAGCAAAAAATTATTTAACAATAACAAACAATACGATCTATCCAGACATTGTATTTATAAAACGATACCATAGGTAAAAATGATCCAAACAGAGTGGTAGCCTAGAAAGGGCTAATATTTCGTTTATGGAAAAAGAAGAAAGATTCAGTGGAAAAAGAAGAGAAGAGAGCAATGCCTAACCAGACAGCTAGAGTTATGCCGGGATTTATCCAAGACTGAGGTTGTCCCACAGCAACATTAAACATTAAACTCCACGGCGGTAAATCTCAGTTTCCTGTTGTTGTCAACAGTCGCTAAAACTTCCTCACTCCCTCTAGTTCCTTAAACCTTTCAAAAACCCTTCTCCATCACTCACGATGGCTTCAACGGTCGAGCCTCCAAAATCTTTTAAACCCTACGAGCTCAAATACACGCTCTCCGGTCACAAACGCGCCATCTCCAGCGTCAAATTCTCCGACGACGGCAGACTGTTAGCCACCTCTTCCGCCGACAAAACCGCCCGGACATGGTCCGTCTCCGACGGCTCCCTCCTCCACGAATTCGAAGGTCACGAACACGGGATCTCTGACGTGGCATTCTCCTCCGACAACCGTTACCTAGCAACTGCCTCCGACGACAAAACTGTCCGATTATGGGACGTTACCACCGGTTCCCATGTCAAAACCCTAACAGGTCACACAAACTATGTGTTCTGTGTTAACTATAACCCTCAATCGAACTTGTTGGTTTCTGGTTCTTTTGATGAGACCGTTAGGTTATGGGATGTGAAGACTGGGAAGTGTCTTAAGGTTCTGCCGGCGCATTCAGATCCTGTGACAGCTGTAAATTTTAATCGGGATGGGTCGTTGATTGTGTCAAGTAGTTACGATGGGTTGTGTAGAATTTGGGATGCTTCAACTGGGCATTGTATGAAGACCATTATTGATGATGAAAATCCACCTGTTAGTTTTGTCAAGTTCTCCCCCAATGGCAAATTTATACTGGTTGGCACTTTGGATAATACTCTGGTATGTTTCTGTTTCTTAATGCTGTTTCCAGAATTCCCTTTTTGTTCCCCTTTTTGCTATTCAGTTGAATTAGATATAAAGGTTGGGTCTCGGTAGCTTTTGTTTGAAAAAAACCCATATTTTTTTGGGTGAAGTTATTGCAAAGCAGCTGCTTCTAAGGTGGATTCTAGAGGTGCCTTGCCCACTTCCAATAGTTGTTTTCTTTTGTTATTTTCTATGGAGTCTGAAAGTGAATTTACGTTGAAAGACTGTAAAGTTCGTTCTATAGGAATCCTCATACATGATTATGTTCATGTTACTCGAGTTAATCACCAAAGTTGGCTTCTTTTGAGCTGATTACGGTAAAAGAGCTCTGTAATTTTATGCTGTGGCGAAATTATGTTTTGCTGATGAAATGCTTAAGATGCATATAGTTCTTTGTCTGCTTTTCCTTGGCACTGAAATGCTCAAGTGCTTCAGTCAGAACATATAGTTCTTTGTCTGCTTTTCCTTGGCACTGAAAACTGCTGTTAGGGGCAACTAAGAGTTGCTGAAGTTTGTTTCTTGCATTTAGTGGAGTAAGTAAAGAGCTCTAGTAATAGTAAAAAAGATGTATAGTACACAACCAGGACCTAACTAGTTGGGTAGAAATTTGTTAATGATTATTGTGTCATGTGATATCCTGACATGTTTTCTTGTTACTTATGTTATGTCTACTGAAATTTGTATTAATAAATGTAATCGAGATGGAACATACCTTTGGTGTGTACTAGCTTTGCACTCATATTTTATTTTTATCAAGAATCCAAGATTGGTGTAGTTAGTCATCGACTTAACCATTTCTATTGTTTGGAGTTGATGGGAGGAAAAGCTACTTGAAATCCTGTTGTGATGGATCAAAAGGCTCGCAATTCTTGCCTATCTGGTTGGTCATGATAATTTTCTTTTGCTAAAAAGCATCCACTTGTACCTTTGGCCTAGTTTGGTGGCTTTTGCATTATGCAGGTCTGACATTCTGTATTATGCATTACGTATCTAATCACATTTATTTAGCAGGTATAGGTTGATCCAAACACAGACATAAAACATGTCCAAGATTTCTAAGATGTTTACTTTATATTATCTCTTAGTTAAGGGATTGAGATAACCCATCTAGTTCTTCTCTCAAGAGAATTCAAAGTCAAACTTATAAATGAAACTAGGACTACTAAAGTATGTCATGCACAGGGCTGTCAAGTCCAATCCAAAAAAATATAGTCTGCCCAACCCACCCTCCAAATGTTAACAGGTTCCATAATATTCACTGGTCAGAATTGGCTATGCCCAAATTAATCCGTGCCAGAAAGACGGTTCAGATAAGTCGCCCAAATCAATCTGTGAAGGCTGCCCAAATAGGTCTCTTTCTCTTCAGTCTTCACTTTTCGATTGGATATCCAGCAGAACTACTCACCGTCTCTCTCGGACGAATTCTTCACATTTTCTATAAAGGGCGAAATTGAGGTGTAAGTTACCTCTTTCTGTCACATGCATATTCATGTGTAGAAGAGAGAAGTCCACTGATATGTGTCTTTTACTACTTCAGAAGTCTCTTTCCTCACTAAACTCACAGATCTTTTTGGAAGCATTCCAATATCGAGATTTATCTTCTCACCAAGAAATATGAAATGCCAAAGTTTGAAGTTTCTGGTAATCCGTCGGTGAACCCAATGTTATTCCCAGCAGGTTGTGCTTTTTCATGCAGTTTTTATCAAACTTTTGGTCCCACAATTATCCTTGGTATTTGAGTAATACGGTTCATTTGGAAGTTATGGTAAACTTGTTTGGACTTTCTTCATGGTTATGCTTCAACGCAAATTTTGGGGACTATTTTGAAGGTTCTTAATACTCCTTTGATCTGTTCAGTATTGAGAAGAGCGTGAAGCGAGCAAAAGCGACAAGCCCCTTTTCGCTTAAAGCAAAAAGCAAAGCGCTCACTTTTTTGTAGTGAAGCGGAATTTTAAAAAAATATATTAAAATAAATACTGCATAGACAACACATGTAACTATAAGCAAATTTTTGAATATTTCAATGTAAAAACTAAAGAGTAGCATCAATTAAAGCACAAAATGAGCATCCTATTCTTCTACAAGATTAAATGAAATGAAAAAATTGCCAGTAAGTATACGAGAAAAATGGCAGTAACTGAAACGAAAAAAATTGGGCAGCATTTCACTGCAATTTATCACTGAAACAGTGAAAGAAAAAGAAGAAGAAGATGAGTAAGAGAATGAGAAAAAGAACTAAAGGGAAAAAATATTTGCCAGCATTTTGCTGCTATTTTGGGACTAAAACAGTGAAAGAAAAAGGCGAAATACATAAACAACCCCTTTAAGTTGTCCTCAACGATCGGCCAGACACCTCAACTGACCACTTTACCAATTTAACACTTCAAGTGGCTATTAAGTATGACATCGTGCTCACCCCAACTTAATAAATTAAAACGAAGCTGAAATGTCTATACCCTCAAGTAAGGGTTGGCTATACAAGCTTTGTTGTCTACTTATCGAAAACCAATAACCAGCTTCCAGTTCTTCCATTCTTCTGTCTAGTCCTTGTGGTGATTTATTCCTATGAAAGGGATCTTGGTTGTGAACTCTTCATCATTTGTTCCATCTTAGGGCTTCATCCTCGTGCTTATGGCTTTTCCACAACAAATTCTCTAACCTAATGCCCAAGACATATCAATATGGAGAATTTTACTTTTGTGGCAAGTCATAAATTACGAAAAAGTTGAACTTGATATACTTTCAATAATTTTGTTCTTTGTTCATATATTTCTCCGCGCATAATCTTTTAGGCAAAAGTCGACTATTAGAAGGAAAAGTTGATGATTGAAAAAGAACCTGAAAATTCCATTGCATCTTTCTGGAGATGAGGTGGAAATTTCTCTTCTTTTGATGAATAAAGTAAAATGTCAATAATATCAGACAAAGTAAGCTAAGATGGTGTCAAATGTATGTATCCCAGCTATCTATACAAAGGGGAACCTCCACTTTACTCCAAAATAAGAAAATGAAGATAAGAGCAATCCTTTAATACTCCTAAACTCGTTCTTGTTATTGTGAAACAATCTGCATTTCTTTTGCTCCAAATAAGCCCAAGAAAACATAGCGGTGTCCTCCAAGTTGACTTCCTTTCCCAGTCGATCTCCTGAACTGTCTATCTTGAGACAAAGCTGCTTCCCCTGTTGTTTATAACAGCCAAAAGATCTTTGGCAGCCCAGTGCACTAAGCTCCCGCTATGCGCCGGGTCCGGGGAAGACCGGACCACAAGGGTCAATTCTATGTAGCCTTACCCTGCAATTCTGCAAGAGGCCGTTTCCACGGCTCGAACCCGTGACTTTCTAGTCACATGGCAGTAACTTTACAAGTTAAGCCAATGCTCCCTTTAGCCAAAAGATCTTTAACTAAGAGAAAACCACTGTTGAACTTTTGCGCACCTTGGTTCTTTGATCATCTATGAAATGCATGGTTGGAGTTATTCATTGAAGCTTTGTCTGATCTGTGAAATTTATTCTTGCCTGTTTCCTCAAGGTGTCTGTTCAGTAAAGCAAACTACTACCGTGAATTTGTTTACAAAGTTGACATGGTGCTTCAAGAATTTTCGATCATTTCTTTCTTCTCATAGTACAACTTCCTGCCTTTCTCTACTAATGAACCATTACATCTTGGCAGATGGGTTCCATATAGTATTCAAATACTATTTCAAAATGAAGATTTTGGTATTGCTTAATTTCAAAATGAAGCATATGCACTGTTTTACAAGTTCCATCAGTTAGAGAATGAGTTGGTATACCTCTGTATCTATTGTAATGCCTCTGCAAAAATTTCATCGTTCAGATACTTCTACTTTACTACTTTTCTAAAAAAACAAATGTATAGGAAACTGCTAATTAACACGCACTCTGACCTTTTTATCCTTTTCTTTATCTTGTTTTGCAGAGGCTTTGGAACTTCTCGACAGGAAAAGTTTTGAAAACTTACACGGGCCATGTCAACTCAAAGTACTGCGTTTCATCAACATTTTCCATAACAGATGGGAAATATATTGTTAGTGGTTCCGAGGATAATTGTGTATATCTGTGGGAGCTTCAATCAAGGAAGATAGTTCAAAAATTGGAAGGCCATACCGATACCGTAATTTCTGTAGCATGCCACCCCACTCAGAACATGATTGCTTCTGGTTCTCTTGGGAATGACAAGACAGTGAAGATCTGGACTCAGGCTCAGGGGGAAGATAGTGAAGATATGACTTAAGCGTTTGTGCATAATAGCAGAATAGCTGCATCTTACTTGCCTTGCATGTGAGAACAGGTTATTATCAGTCTCTACATGAGGTAAAAACCTCTGTATCGTTTAGTCTTGGTAGTTGTCATGTAGAAGTTATTTCAGCTTTTGTCTAAGTTATTGTATTCCAGGAATTTGCTTCACTAGATGAATAGGTCTCTTCTCAGATTTATGGAAATTGTATGAGAGTTGGAACTTTTGCTTCATCGCTCACCCTTCCCTTTCCCCCAACCCACGCAAAAGGAAAAAAGAAAAAGAAAAGAGAAAGATTTTCGTCGTTTCTGTGTGCTGAACTATGTTATAATACTAGTTTTTTACGTTTGTGAGCTTGCACCTCCATAGGAATGAGCTTTTAATAGATCAGAAGAAATACAATAGCATAACGATGGCTGAGCTTGATGCTGTCTGTCTCTGGGATTCTGATTTTCTAAATGATGTGGAATATATTTGTGGTTGTTAAAACTTAAATAATCTTATTAATATCTGTACAAGTTTTGGCCTACGCCTTCCTTTTTTAGTCAACATTATGAAGTTGTGCTGTTGCGAATGGGGTGTATATGTATTTGTTAATTGTTATAAACCTGTTAGGCATGTGATCATGTTTGTAAAATTTTCAAATTAATATACCCAGAATGAGAGAAAATGGAAGAAAAGCAAACAGTGTTAATTGTGGAGAAGAGATTATAGATGTTTTGGGTTTGGGTAGAAAAGTAGTCGTGCAGTAGTTGATAATTCGGCCAATCTGGTGATCCTCTTCATTAATTTCAATAGAGGGGTTTATATTCACTTTGAGTCGAGTTTGTAGTTTTAGTGATTACAACTTGATAATAGTATATCGGGATTTGGTGTATGCTATTTTAACTTAGTGAACATGATATAACTTTCAATGCTAATCAACTTGTTATCGAGTCTAGAGAGATTAGATAAGTGGTAAAATTTTAACCAGATGAAGCTTTAGTCATTTCAATTAGATGTGAGCTTTAGTAAAATATAATTCCTGGACCAGAATCCGAATTAGGTTAGTTGTTGACGCTGATAGTGATAGACAATAAATGATGAAACTATAATTGTTAAAATTCGTTGAGATAGTGCTTGAATTATGAGCTAGGTCACATTTTTTTTTTTGGTTTCCCACCCGGTGTCCGGTACCCATATTGGGGCCCGACTAAATCCGGATTCGCGCCGGGAAGTCCCACATTGGGGGTAAAGCGCTCCCTAACAAAGGCGACTCTATACCCAGGGGCTCGAACTCAAGACCTCTGATTAAGGATGAAGGAGTACTTATCACTCCACCACAACCCTTGTTGGTGTATTTGATTCATAGTTTCATACCCAACTTCAATATTTTCTGTAATTAGCTTTCTCTATGTAATTCCTTATGACTTTCCAATGCAAGTATTTTTTGTTTAGTTACAAACAGATTGGAAGACTCTACACAATGTAATTCATTTTAATTATCAAATACTGAAGATTGATGAAGACTGGACCCTGTTTAGTGTTTACACAATTTTCAGTCAAACTATTGCTCCGCCACGAAAGTTTTACTCAAAAGCAAAGGTTATATACTGTGAGAAGCATTTAAAAAATACTTGCGAAGAAAAAAGAAATAGATTAATAGAAACAACTATAATGATAATAACCGTGTAACTGTAAGTATGTATTTTTTAAAGTTTAATTTATGTATGCTAATGGTGCAAGGAATTATCACGCGATATTGTTATTGTAGGTTATCAAATTTATTTTTGAGGAAACTAATAAGTAGTGGAACATAACCTCTTAGCAACAAAAAGAAAAAGGTGTATCATAAGGTGTTCAAATTTAAATGCAGGAAGAAGGTAGATGATTTGAGGCTAAAAAGCATAACAAATTCCTATTGCGTGCTGTTGTTTTCTTCTTATAATATAAAATATAATATGGGTAGCCGATCTCCACACTGTTAAAATTCGTTTTTCACCTTTGACATTCTCAAAGTATTCTAATATATTCCACTTATACTGGCTAGCTATTTGGTACCTACCCTATGAGTGCGTTCGTTTTCTTTTTCCCGCTCAAATTATTATTTATTTACTTACCTTTAATATTAATAGTGGATCGAAATAACTTGGCGTTCTCTTTGAAATAATTTATAACCAGTGTAAGTTGGTAAAAATTGGTCACATAATTTTCTCCATGTGTACGACTAGTAGTCCATAATAAAGTCAGCATGTGGTCCGTGTGTACCATATAATTAGTTTGGAGTAGATAATTTCAAGGAATCTACAGCTATTATTTATTTATTTATGCCATATTGACTAATTATTCTTGGCACAATAACTGCTCCCATATAAAGATGGCTAAAACTTTAATCATTTGGCCACCGCCTGTTGTATAAAAAATGGATATCAAAGCTTTCATTATAATTTTGGCCGATTTGGCATATCTTCCAAATTGGACTTTGCTTTAATTTATCAATTAGGAAACCATCACGAGCTTGCGTGGTGCTAAACCAGAACTGAACATATCCATTTTTACTTGAAAAATGGTAACATTTCACTCGTGGCATATAAAATATTCATTTCTAATTGCAACTACCTTTTCACTTTGGTTGAAAATAAATATCCCTTTAACTTTCTGTTAATTTAAGATTCTCCTCCTACTAATTTTGGTCCAAATATAATGCACTGGCATCACGACTAATGCCTTGTAGCAGCTCTCAAAATTACTTCACCATTTGATGGACAATTCATCTCTAAGATGGTTTTCAAGAATGGTAAGAATATACAACAAATTAATCCTTAGATAATATTATACGAAATAATCTTAATTTGTTTTGTATGATTTGCAGGGAGAGGCTGGAGCCTATTACTCAAATGAGAAGAAATCTGTTGACGATTTCACCACTCAAAAATCCACTATTTCAGAGGATGGAGAAATTAGAGAACTATCTCTATCTCCAGATAGTTCTCATCGTTCTAATTATTTCAAACAGGAAAACAAAAGTAAAGTCAGCAAGTTCGATTTTTCCCTCATTACCCCTTTGGAAAATCAGCCCAAAATGAATAGTAATATGCTTTCTTTTACGCATAATATGTATTCTGATCACCAAGTCTGTAAAATAGAAGCAGTAGATGAGATGTACTTGCGTGATTCAGATCACAAGTATTTTCAATTTCTCAAGTCTAAAAGTGGCTACGATCAAAAGGATAGCCTAGCCAAGAAACTGGGACAGGGTCAGAAAAGAGAGAGATTTCTTTCAGTTGATCAAGATCATATTATTGCAGAGAGGAAACGCCGAGAAAAACTTAGCCAGAGATTCGTTACACTTTCAGCCATTCTTCCAGGTCTTAAAAAGGTATTCATTTTTCGCCTCAAATTCGGTTTTAAATACAAGAATTAATTAGTTTTTCGATGCGCCTAATTAATACACGCTCAGATGGTTATACTAAGTTAATTACACATATTGGCAACTTGATGGGGATGGTAATTAATCTACTATAATAGGTTAAACTATATTGTATTGTTCACATACAAAATGGTTACATCGTTAAGTGTATATAATTTAAATGTTTATTTTATATTGGGTTTAAGCTATATACTAATAGTGCAAAATGTAGTTTAACCAGTTATAGCAGATTAATTTGCATCCCTATACGATATATACTTTCTTTAGTCCGCTCTAAAAAGAATGTCACATTGAAATTAATTTAACTTTAATCTTTCCATTTACCTAATTTACCCTTACTAAGAAGCTATTATAGTTACAGCTCCACAAAACTTTTACTCTGTAGGCATTAAAGGCTACAAGTTTTAATTTTTTTTAAAACTCCGTGCCGAGTCATAGTATATCATATAAATTGACTGAAACGGAGGAAGTATAATTTTTTTGTTTTTTAAGATTATCAATTAATGTTTTTCATAGCACTTAAACTCTAAACAATGAAAAGAAAAGGGAGAATTACAAAAAGAGAGGCTAAAGATTATTAGCATTTATAAATTGTAGGTGGACAAAGCTTCAATTCTTGAACAAGCAATCAGACATGTGAAAGAGCTTAAGGAAAAGGTGAAACAATTGGAAGAAGAGGAAAAGACAAGGTCCCTGGAATCAGTTATGTTTGTGAATAAATCTCAGCTGGAAGAAGATGATCATTCCTCTTCTTCATCTGATGAAAACAATCATAGCTCCTCTGTCGACGCAGATATTGAAGTAAGATTCTCAGATAAGAATGTATTGATCAGAATAACCTGTGAGAGGCACAATGCCTTCGTCCTTAACATCCATAACGAAATAGAGAAGCTTCATCTTTCTATTGTTCAAAGCTCTATGATGCCATTTGGGAAACAGGCCATTGATGTCACTCTTGTCGCTCAGGTATTAACCTTTAATTTTACTCCACTATATTTACCATTGAGAAGCTTCATCTTTCTATTGTTCAAAGCTTCATCTTTCACATGTTAGATAATATTAATAGTACACATTTTTTACACTATTCTGTATATATAATTTAAATCCATTTTTAATTCATTTTAGATGGAGGACAGTTTCTGCATGACGCTAAAGGATCTTATGAAGCATGTTCGAATGGTCACTGCGAGGCTAATGACCCAAGCATAATTAACTTTTCTGTAATATCAGAAAATCTTGGAGAAGCAAAGAGAGTTTGGGATTTTCCTTCACATATTTTGTGTGATAGATTTGCTACCATTCACCTTCTTTGGTTTGTAAGAAATGCTTATCTCCTCGGCTACATAAAGCTTATTTCAAAGTGAACTTATTAAAGTAGAATATCCTACGTTAAGTAAACACTGTTATGTGTGTCTATACATAAGTAAAGGCCTTACTTTAAAATAAAAAAAAAAGACAGCGAGAGAAAGAGCCGACTTGTTATGTATCACACAGTAAAATTACTTCATTCGAAATTTCCATACTATAATTCTTGATTCGTGTACGATTTCCATATTCAGCTTTCAATTTTTTTTTTCCGTCTTCATAAGGCAAGCCATTCTGAAAATTATTGGTCAACACTTCCTGTCCAAAACGGCAAGAAACACCAAGCCAAATTAACAAAACAGGAATATAAGATGTTTTCATATGGTGATAAAAACCGGGTGATATATTAACTTTCCAACATAGATGTTTATCTCGAAAATACGAGTAACAATTAAATTTGATTTATGGTTTTAAAGATACGTAATTTAGTTCAATACTAATTAGTAACGAAGGAATCTGAAGTATAAATGAAAGGAACAAGTAAAACCAAACCAAAATGTAGGTCAGTCTCAACCACGAGCCAAAGTGACCTCGAGATGGATCAAGAACAATAAAGCAAGAATAATAAAGCTAAAGGACAATTCTGATGAACAATGAGCGAGAAAGTAAGTGAGTATATTCTTTGCCAAATGATTGAATGTCTTTACAAATGATTGGGGTCCCCTTTATATAATAGGAGAACCCTAAATAAGGTACATTTCTATTTATAGTAAATAATCTTATTGGGACAGCTGTCTAACCGCTTAGTACGGGTTCGTACAAATCTATTCCCGGATTTACGCCATGATTTGGGGGACGTGGCACGAATCTAGCTCATTCTGTTACAAATCCATAACGATATTATCTTGGGCTGGACATACTCGGCTCCGATACTCATCGCGAACTTCGATCCTCGGGCCTTGTACTCTGTCGTCGAACTTGAGCATGGTTTATCGAGTTCGACCTCGATCCATCCTGAACTGGGACCTAAGGCAACCCTTCGAGCTCGAGAAATCGGGCATTCCTGATTTTAACCGTATACAGATAGTCCACGATTTGATCTTCGATGCTCTGTCGCCTCGATCATGATGTCACTCTCATGATGTCAGCGGCTGAAGTGATTGAAAACTCACTTCCGCATAGTTCCCAAGGTCATTAATTGGAGGCAGCTTCTGGTCGGCTATATGGCTTTCCCAAACCGTTTAAGTGACCTCTATAAATAGGCCAATTCCACAATTTTTGCAACCTTTACTTCTCAAATCATCCTTAGAATCTCATTAGCTTCTTCAACTTCGACCGTAAATCGTTATTGTATATCTATTGGCACGCGACCTGATGGGATGGACCGTAAACCATTGCTGTATGTCTATTGCAACGGATTTGCTGCCTACAGCAACAGTTTTAAACCCGTTGCCATAGGATAATTTTCTAGTAGTGTTCTCTGAGTTCATCCTTTTCCCAATATGTTCTTACTACAACATCAACTTCTTCTCTTCTCTTGAATTTCTCAACCACAATGGCTAAGACATCTAGAACTGTTCCCCAGAAAGAAAAAGCTTCATCGTTGCGGCCGGCCAGAGGTAGAACGATGGTGCCACCTCGTATCGAGGAGTGTATTCCCGGGCCATGTGAGCTAACTTCCGATTTTAAAATCGATAAACCTGCATTAACACCAGGTCGATACATCTGCTTAATAACTGAAGGCGAACTTGAGCAGGTAAAAAAGGACTGCAATTGAAAGAACAAAGATGTTGTGATCCCTTCCCCTGAAGAGGACATCACTACCCACAAGGTAGCGTACTTAAGCATGTATACCTACCCTTTCACGTTGGGCCTCGCAGATCCAGCTCCGGGTTCCATAGACCCAGTAATTCTTGATTTTTGCCAACAATACCAGGTGACGCTTGGTCAGATCTACCCCTCTTTCTGGCGCATCGTTAATCTGATCAGATATTTCTCGGGCTTGGTCGAGGGGGTGTCTTTTACCCTTGACCACCTGACCAGGCTATACAATCCTCGCCTTTATCGAGGGGGTTTGATAAAGCTTCAGCGCTGATCCTTGAAGTCCCTTTTCTCCAGCATCAATGAGGACAAGGACAGAGGATGGATGAGCCGGTTTGTTCGATTCAGGACCTCCGATCTGATTCCTGCCGAGAGGATGCCATTCCCCGAGGAGTGGAACATGAAACATAAGTATAAATTTATCGATAGTGATTAATACCCTGCTTTCCCTACTTTTTCTCGATCTAATTCTTTCCTGATGATGTAGCTGTTGCTTGGTTCCCTGGTAAGGTCTCGGACCTTACAGGCTGGGTCCGGCAACTGGCCTCCACTTCTTCGTACGCGGAATGCAGTTGGCGTGATTTGGCCAAGGGTCGATGGGAAGCTAAAAACCATGGTAATTTCTCTTGTGCACATATTTATGTTTCTTAGTGAAATACTTACTTTATCATTATGCAGGCCTCGGAGACGCCGTTGCTATGCGGCCGCCCCCGCCCAGTGAAGAAGAAATCCCAAAGCCTACCAAGGAAAAGAAGATGAAAAAGGGGTTGCCTGCATATTCCCCGAAGCCAAAGAAAATCAAGGCTCGAAAGCCTAAGGACGATACCATGGCCCTATCTCCAAAAATGGCCCAACGCCTTCGAGATGAGGATGAAGAGAGGGAAGATGACGACCGCCTGTTGGTAGCTCAGAAAAGAGGAAGCATTGACGCTTCGAAGCCGCTGAACCGATGGTGGCTGGCGCGGTTCAATCTCGAACCAAAGAAATTTTGGAGGGGAGCTCGAGCAGAGTCCCGGAGCCATCAGGTGGAATAAGTGCATCTCGTCCCGGGGGACATTTGGTGGGCGAGCCTGAAGAGCCAAATTCCGAGGCCCTCCAAAGAGAGGATAATATCCCAAGTAAATTACTTGGGATAATTAATGTAGATGACTCACCGCCGGGCCCCGTATTCTCTGAAGGGCAGTTCCAAGATGCCCAGTCCATGAGGACTCCTGATATGGGAACGACCCATGAAGGGAGTGATATTTTTCGGGAGTGCCTAGCAGGGTCGAAGTTGGTCCTGATCCTGATGCCTCGTTTATCTTTGATGAGGCCCAGAGGCTTCTTAAGCAAGTAGGGTTTTGTCCTCATAATTGCAGTCGAATTTTACTCTTGTTTTCCTAAGTCTGATTCTTTTTCTCTACGTGAAGGCTGTGGTGCTTCATCGGCAAGCATTTTCCAAATCTCAAGCCAAGCTTGCTCCGAACTCAAGAAGTTGATGGAAGAGAGGGACGGCCTCAAGCGCCTCTATGTACAGAAAGAGGAAGAGGTCAGAGATCTCCGAGTTGAGTTGGCGAAGGCTCGTCAGGAACAGACTGAACTTATCGAAAAGGTAGTGTAGCCTTTGGGGTCTGTTATGTCTTCATTCGATTTATCAATTAACACTTTAATTTTTGCAGGCTAGCAGAAGGGCGAGCTGGTGGAGAAGCTCCAAGAAGAGCTCAAGATGAAAGAGGCCGAGACCCTAGGGTGGAAACAACACATAGACTGGCTCTCCTCAGAGAAAGATACACTTCGGGAGCAGCTGACTTCAATCGAACGCCAGCTTCAAAATGCAAAGGAGGAAAGCTTGGCCCGGAGCCGCAAAATCGAGGAGCTCGAAGCTAAATCAGCCGCTGAGCTTTCGAAGGACAAATCTCAGGCGGAGGCATTTATGTCCTCGTATCGAGTTGACGCCAAAGTTGCTAACACTCGGGCACAGGAGATCTCCATTGTGACTGAAGTTAAGTTATCATGTGCTCTCGACCATGCCAGGTGACAATACCGGAGAGAAACTCTCGAGGAGGTGCATGCTCATGGCTTCGACCTCTCTGCTGATATTAAAAAAGCAAAAACTTTGGAAGAAGAGGCTGCCGCTTTGCTCTTCGATAGCGAGGATTCCGTTAGTGGATCTGAGAGCGGAGGAGATGAGGACGAAGTCCCCGAGGAGGAAGTTCTCGAAGACGCGACTTCCGAGGATGTGACCCCGAAGTAGATTAGGTTCCTTTGTTTTGCTTTTGTGTAAGGCCTTTCGTAGGCATTGTAAATACCCTTTTATAAAACCCATTTGGGACAAAATCCGATCTAAGGGAAAAAGAGTGCAACGCGTGCTTTAAAACCTAAGGTCTTCGTGTAAAAAGGTGCCCTCGATATCTTCGATCGAACACATGCCATGGATTAGTTTTAAATTCAAATGGACAAAAGGATAAAGTCATACCTTAGCAGTACTATCGCTTGAGTAGTGATATATTCCAATTGTTCGGAAGTTGTTCGCCTTCCATCGTGCTAAGTTTGTAAGATCCCTTACCGACAACTCCGATGACTCGGTAAGGTCCTTCCCAATTTGGGCCTAGTCTCCCTTCATTTGGGTCTTGAGTATTGAGGGTAACTTTCCGTAGAACTAAGTCCCCAATTCCAAAGTGTCAAAGGTTGGTCCTTCTATTGTAGTATCTCTCAATTCTTTGCTTCTACAGGGCCATCCGAACAAGTGCTGCCTCTCATTTTTCATCTAATAGCTCGAGGTTAGTATTCATAGCCTCGTAATTTGACTCCTGTGATACATGCCGAAACCTGGCGCTGGGCTTTCCGACTTCGACAGGGATTAAGGCCTCGGAGCCATATACTAAAGAGAACGGGGTGGCCCCTATGTTGGACTTCGATGTCGTTTGATATGCCCAAAGGACCTTAGGTAGAACTTCTCTCCATCTTCCTTTTGCATCGTCCAACCTTTTCTTTAGGTTTTGGATGATAGTTTTGTTTGTTGACTCGGCCTGTCCGTTTCCGGTTGGGTGGTACGGTGTTGATAAGATCCTCTTTATTTTATGTTCTTCGAGGAAATCCGTTACCTTGTTGCCGACGAATTGCTTTCCATTGTCACATACAATCTCGGCAGACATCTCGAACCGACATATGATTTGGTCCTAGATGAAGTCAATAATTTCCTTTTCTCTGACCTTCTCGAAGGCCTATGCTTCCACCCATTTAGAAAAATAATCAGTCATAAACAAAATGAATTTAGCTTTACTTGGGGCCGTTGGTAGAGGGCCGACTATGTCCATTCCCCATTTCATGAAGGGCCACGGGGATAAGACTGAGTGGAGTTTCTCTCCGGGCTGATGGATCATCGGTGCAAACCGTTGGCAAGTCTTTGCTGAATTGCCAACCTTAAAATGAATATCCACTTGGGCTGTCCCTAATTGTTGCATACTAGTTTCCACCATGTCACCTTAGGAAAGTCTCGTTGCATGGTTCTGTATAGTTGCTTGGCAGAACATTTCTCCATCTTCTGAACATCTTCTTCTAAGAGCCCTGCATTTGCAAAGTTGTTCCTTGCTTTGAAAATCTTTTGTATGGCCCATGATGCATTCTTTGGTTCTGTATTCCAGACTGTGTTCTCCTCTATGTAGTAAGTATGCACCCATTGAATCCACATTTTCTCTTTCCTTGTACAAATACTCCATTGTAACTTGCAAATGGCTGCCTTGTTCCATAGCTCCACATTGATGAAGTTCAATCCCCCAGCTACTTTTGGTGCACACAGTTTGTCCCAGGCTATCAAAGCCTTCTTTGTTGGTTCAACATTTCCTGTCCATAGGAACCTTCTACAAATTGCTTGTATGAAATGGACAATTTTCTTGGGCAATATGAAGATCTGAGCCCAGAAAGTTTGTATAGCAAATAGCACACTCTTGACTAGGATTGCTCTTCCAGCATATGACAGAAACTTTGTGGTCCAGCTTTGAATTCTGCTTAGCATCCGCTCTATTAAGGGTTCACATTGAATGGCAGACAGTCTCTTTGTGCTCAAAGGAACACCTAGATATCTGAACAGTAGTTCACCTTTAGTATAGCCCAGTATGTCCATAATTTGCTGCTGAATCATGTTGTTCACACCACCAAAATAAATGCTGCTTTTGTTTGGATTAGCAATTAGACCCGAGGCTGCTGAGAACATTTGGAAGTGCTTGTGCAACATCTAGACCGATTGAATATCACCTCTACAAAATAGGAGCAAGTCATATGCAAATCCCGGTTGAACTAGGTTGAATTTGGCACACCTTGGATGGAACTTAAACTGCTTATTGCCCTTCAGTGTTTCCAAAGACTTGCTTAGGTACTCCATTGCTAAAACAAATAGCAAAAGGGATAGTGGATCTCCCTACCTTAAACCTTTTCTTTCTTCAAATGGTACAGATGGCTTACCATTGATTAACACAGAATAGGACACAGTTGTGATGCAGGCCATTATCTACTTCACAAATATTTCAGGGAAGTTCAGTAACCTCAATACTTGTTCAATACACACCCATTCCACAGAGTCGTATGCCTTTTGCATATCTATTTTGAGCATGCATCTTGGAGAGATATTCTTCCTCCCATATCCCTTGACCAGTTGAAGTATTGAATTAAAAAGAGGCAAAACGATCAAACCAAATGTGACAAAATAATTAAGCCTGGCGTTAGATTCAAACGCTAAGGACCAGTCCCAATTGAGCCCTTGGAATGGAGCTCGGTAACAACTAGATGGATGGACAACTGAAGAACACTTGAATAATTACGAAAGGGCAAAAGTAAACTTTATTGCTTTGATATGCGTGTCAACATTGACCCAAAAAATGAAAAGGTTCTCCCTTTATATAGTAGGGGAATTTTAACCCCATACAAAATAAGATAAAAGTCCTTTCCTTCTGTTTTTCTCATGAAAACACGATCTACGGCTAATATCGAGCATGATTCGGGCCGTAATATCCGGTTGATGGCAAATATTTTGGCTCTTTGTTTGTCTTCTTTAATCGTTTCTTCCTTTTGCGCTTGGTTCTTCGTATTACTCAAGCTGGGATATCTTCGGGTTTGGCCATGGTCGATTCCCAACGCATCATCTCTGCTCCTAACTTCGATCTGCGGGCACCCTCGACCTTGCTTGAGCTAGTGATGAGCAATGTTGTTCCTCGCTTCTCAATGGGAAATCGGGGATAACTTTATTCCCGATTTTACCCGTATACAGATAGTCCCCTCACTTCTCGAAGAGTAAATTATAGGAGCCATGAGAAGTGACTAATTGACCCTGGTTCCTTTCCTTGCACACCATAAGCAAGTTGATGAACCGAAACGTCCCATTAGTCACGTCGCTCTGATTTTTGACACGCGTCAGCCGCCGGTGGATTATCCTCATCAGTTACCGAATGTGAAATGTCATGCATTCATTATTCTTTCCCTATAAAATCTCTCGTTTCCGATTTCACTTTTTTACTTTCTGATCTCAAACTTACTTGAGTTACCCTCGAACTTTCATTTGTTCATCAACCCTCCAAATCTTCATAACTTGTTCTTTTCATCTTCGTATCTTCATATTTCATCTTCAAACCTTCATAGTAAATCTTCAAACCTTCATACCAAACCTTAAAACCTTCATATCCTCAGATAGAAATGGCTAAGACTTTGAATTCAGTACCCCAAAATACTACACCGATGACTTCTTCCTCTGCTGCTGGTAGCGAGCACACTTTCGGTAGTAGCTCCGGGACCTCCCCTTACAAATTTCATCCCTGGAGGCTGATCCATAGATAACGACTTAAAGGTTGAGAAAGCCTCCGCACAAGGAGACCGAGGTGAAGAAGCGTGGAGGTACATATGCTCCATCATCGAGAAAATGCTTGAAGTAGTCCGAGAGGACTGCAAATGGGAAGGCAAAGACATAGTTTTTCCCAGTCTCGACGAGGACATCACGAGAGATGTGGAAGTATATTTAAGTGCTTACATGTATCTTTTCACGTTCGGTACGGTTGACACAGTGATCCTTGAATTCTGTAAGAGGTATAAAATCTGCCTCGGGCAGATTCATCCATCTTTTTGGAGGATCGTGACCCTTCTCCATCACTATGCGAGCAACTCGGAGGAGCCTAGGTTTATAATTGACCACCCGCTCCGAGTCTACAGTCCTAGGATCTTCCGAGGAGGGGTTAATCAAGCTCGCCCATCGGGCAAAGAAAGCTCCCTTCTCCTGCATAGACGAGGACATGGACTGAGGCTGGCAGGGTAGGTTTATTCAGATAAAGACCGATGACCTCATTCCTTCCGAGTTGCTATCGTTTCTCGAGAAACTAAACTCAAAACGTAAGTTTACTTCCTCTTAAGTCATAAAAGTACTTTTTTGTATCTACTCTTCTTTCTCATTATTTGTTTCATTTGACATGTAGCTGTCTGCTGAGTCCCCAATACGTTCCCGCATTTTAGGTAGTGGGTCGAGGGCATATGTAGGGAACTCACCTACGTGAGCGTGAGTGGCGCAAGCTTTCCAAAGGCAAGTGGGAGGCTCATTCTCATGGTGAGTCCCCTCCCCTTTTTCGTTGAATTTTTTTTCTTGGCCATTTCTTATTATGTCATTGTTATGACTGTGTCTTTTCTTTCCACAGGCTTGCCTAAGACCACTAAACTTCGGGAAATTACCGAAGCCATGGCCTTGACCCCGTCTACAAAGCCCTCCACTTCATTACAGCCTACTGTTGAATCTGTTGCGAAGAAAGAGGAGTAAACGCAGAAGAAAAGGTCTCCTGACTCCTTGGATGCTCCTGCCGAGGCTAATAAAAAATGATCGTTCTCAAGGTCAGAAAGAGCACCAATAGGGCTTCGGGTGCCCGGATTCTGAGGCACTTCATCAGCTTAAGTACTTTCTCGAGGATGACGATGACTTGGAGTTTATCACTCACGTGTCGATGGATGCTGACCTGAAGTTGGTGGCCTGGAAGGGGGATTCTCGACAGGCTAAGTCTTCCTCGGCTTGGGGGCTTAGGGAAGAACAAGTGGCTACTGCTTCGCAAGAAGCTCCTCCGATACCGAGGGGGACCGTCTCGGAAAATGCCAATGTTGTCCACAATCAAGAGACACCGCCTCATACAGAGGATATTTTAGACGAGGCTCGGGCCGTTGTAGAAAAATCGTCGGAAGCATCCTAGGCCGTAGATGAGTCCCTTAACTCATTTTTCGAGTGTGTGGACACCAGAATGCTAGAGGATTACTTCGGATTTGGCCCCCATGGAGATCCCGAAAAAGGTCGTGCAACCGGGGTCATGTGGGTGGAATTCGAGCCCAAAGCTCGAGAAGCAGTTTCTTGCCCTGAATATGGGCCATGAACGGAAGAAGACAGTCATGTTCACAGTACTGGCAGATACTAGCATGCTATTCGGGCTAGTCGGAGTGGCCAGCTATCTCTGTTCCTTGGTAACCAAAGAGGACAAAGTGAAGATAAACAAGGTAGATGGGCCAAGCCTCTTCAACGAGGCTCAGCAGGCGCTGAATAGGGTATACCTTCCTCTCTTTTCATCTTATAGATTTCTCTTTACCTTAAAGATATTTTTAACAATTTTTCTTTCTTTATATCTCAGGCCTCGGTGCTTCACCATGAAATCTTTCACTGATCTAGGATGTAGGTGAGTCACCTCGAATTTGAGCTCAAGGAGTAGGTCCGGCAAACAAAGATGTACAAATCTCTCTGTGAGCAGAAGGATGAAGTCCTTAGGGACATCGTCGACCGCTCTGCCCTCCAAGCCGAGCTGGAGAAAGTCCAAAATGAGGCTTCAAAAGTGAAATAGGACCATGTCCTTCTGGTTAAAAAGGTAAAAGTACTCGAGATCGATAATGAGAGGTTAAATGCAAATGCTCACTCCGTAACCTCGTAGGTCCATGAGAAAATAACCTTAACGACTAGCTTAGGTCCGAAATGGACGAGGTCAATCGTTCAACTGATGAGTTGAGGGGTGAAATGGATCTCCTAGCATAAGAGTGGGATGCCACCAAATAGGACCCGTCATCGACCAAAGTGCAGCTTTGAGTGATGAGAATAAAGACTGACAAATGGTCTCAACTGAATGAGGAGCTTCAGGCACAACTTGCCTCGTCCGTTGCAGAACTTGACGCTCTCGGACAAGAATTTACTGCGCTGAAATCCAAATTGGAGGTGGATTCAAATGAGGTCTTAGAAGCCCAAGACATGCTGGCCCAGTACAACAATGATGTTGAGGTAGCCGAAGCCCGTATTATAATGAAGGATGAGTACGTGAAGTGGCTATCTCGGAGAGAGATTCTCGAGGAGATCCAAGCCCGAGGGGTCGACTTAGCGGTCGAGATTGAAGAGGCCAAGAGGCTTGAGGTAGAGACCAAGGCGAGGTACCGACCCGAGGGATTGGATAGCGAGCCGGGATCCGATGAAGACTAGGCAGGAAATGCCTTAGCTTATATTTGCCTTTTTTGTTTTTTTTTTGTATTTGTACATTTTGTGCTTTGGGGCCATTTCCTCGTGCCTATGTAAATAGCTTTCGCTGTATACAAAATATAAAATTACCCTCTGGCTACATTTTGTGTCCTTTAATTTTTCTGCATTTGCTTATGTTTAGGACTTAGGATAAGTAACATTTTGGACTTAATATAGCATCGATGCCTTAGCATAAAATTTGCTTAAATTGTTCAACTTCCAAAGCACGGACGGGACCTGGATCAAATAACGAATCTAAGTTGCTTTGACTTCGGAGGATCCGATAAAAAATAAAATGAAGTCTATATTAAAATATTCGAATGACTTATCCAGGCACAGTTAATCTTTATCGAAGGTGGCTCTTTTCATCACCGTAATTCGAGTCGACCTGATTAGATCGGACATAAACTTTTATGGAATTAAAATGTGTAAGGACCTTACTTTTTATATGCACGAACTCAGGCATCTCAGAGTCGTCTATACATTATGATCGATGCTCTAAAGGCTTCGTATCTTAAGTTGGTCGTGGCCTTTCGTATTAGGCCCTGCCTTGTAGACTCAGTGTCATCGGGATTTAGTAGCCTGATATTCCCAATCTTACTGTCGAGCAACAATCCTTGATTCTGGGTGACCCGTCGGCTTAGGGGTCTTTAGGAGGTAGGGCACGATTTCGTGGTCTCTTACTGCCTTCGGGGCTTTATGCCCTCGATTAATGGTGGACCATGCGT